GAGAGAAATGCTCCCCTATCTATGGTGGTAATATCTGTACATTATACTTTTGACTGACAAAAGAATGTTTACAGTGACAAGACTCGTTTTTATGAGTTCTTTACTTCAATCCATGCTCTTTTAATTTGTTACTCGCTAACCGTAGTGCTAAATATTCTTTACCTTCACTGTCCAGAGTTATCTGAAGAAGAATCTAAATATGAATTTGACTATGAGGTGCTATCTGGGGTTTCAGCTCAACCATGGGATGACACAGAACAGTGTCTTTCTGCAAGTGGAACAAATCCATTTCCAGATGCACGTCCATCTGTTACTCAGAACAATCATGTCAGGGAGAGCAAACAAGAGGATGTAACCAGTTGCAACAAGGAAAAGCCCCAGTACCCAGTATTGATGTCCAAGTTAGTGGATAAAGTAAGTGAGGGAGTGGTACCTAACGCTCGAGGACCTGGCAAAGCCTCAAAATCGGATGAACTTGTACCTAATGACTTTGACGATTTGGAACAATTGATGTCTGGGATAAAAACATTCGTGCCAACTTGAGGTTGATGCCAGATTTTCAGAGAAGGGAAATGGCTGCAAAGATGGCCTTCAAAATGGCTGCCGTGTTTGGAGGTGGCAGTGATGATGAAGAGGGAAGAATTTGCTTGATCAAAGGGGAGATTACTACTGAGTAAGAACTATAAGTTGAATCCCCTCCCAAGCCTCACAACCTGTATTTTTGAAGGTAAATGGGCCATTGCTGCCACTCTTACTATAGGAGTTCAATGTAAAATTTCGCTGCCTTCAGCTTTTCAATTGCTCATGAGGATTCAGTCCCTGTGTGGATTCCTGCATACGCTCATTTATGCATACAACTGACTGGGCAAACCCCTATTTCTGTCTCAAGGGTGAAAGTGACTGCGTTAAACTATGAGTTGTCATGGTGTATGATGATAGATTTGGAGATTGATGTACTGATATTTGATCAAAGAAGCCCCATCTACCTACCCCCCATCAGTTGTCATGACAACCAGATGCAGTGTAGTGAAAGAGATTCTAGAAAATGTAGGCCCTGAAAGAGATGAAGTCCAATCTTAAATCTCCCACGGCTTTTTCATTCTTATTGCATGTGTTCTTAGCACTTTGTTATTAAGCAATTTAAGTTGTTATGCTTCATTATCGTACGACACCCACTTTAGGTTTGGTGGGTGTATAGACACTTTTGACGGTCATCCTTTTTTCAAGTCAAGTTGGAAATGAATTTTCGTACCTGTAGTGGGCATGATTCTTTTGTAGAGCAAAGTGGTTAAGTATTGACCGCTCCTTTTCCAGCTTGAGGAATTCAGCACACAGGAAGTCGGCTCACAGAGAAGACACCAATCTGTCATCTCCTGATTGAGCAGAATTCTAGTTAAGATACTGAAAATTAGGCAAACCAGTGGCACCAAATCATGCGTTTACAATTTTACACTTTCTCTATAGTAAATTGGTCATTATTGTGAGTTTCTCCTTAGTGCTGTTTAATCAAAGCACAGCTGGAAAACTTAGAAAAGAAAGAAGAAACCATAAATATGACTGGTTTTGAGATATTTTAACCTGGGGATTGGTGGTGGGGCCTCACATGGACCATTAGAAAGCAGATGTTATGCTTCCTGTAGGATCAAGGAACACCGCGTTCTTTGAAGTCGTTTGGAACAACTCCACTTGGCTTCATCTTCATTGGGTTGAATAAAGTGTGGAGGAAGGATAACGCTCATGCTAAAGCATCCACTATCAAACTCATTCTTAAGTACTTCTTGCAGGTCATTCAAAGTGGGTATCGTTTGCTCTTTTACAAAATTTCAAGGGAGGAATCAGTCACTTTTTCAAGAATAAAGTGACCCTCCTTTTTGGTTAGAGAACTTCACAGCAACGGTTGCTTCAACAGATCCTTTTCTCCCTTCATTTTCTATCATTGTCTTAGCTACCAAGCAAAAAATATCTCAAACCTGGTGTCCCCAGGATTGCATTTAGAAACTGTAAAGAACTAGTTTAATGAGAAAATTACGGTTTAAAATCAACAAAAGATGGCTCCTTTTACGGTTACAAAAACAGGGGAAGACAATGCTTGATTTATTGTTGCTAAGGTAGGAAAGTATTAGTCCTGTTGGCTGGAATATTATTATCTTCTCTGGCCTTCATTTGTGCCTCAGTGACAGACCCAGAAGCATTCCCAGAGGAGACAGCCGGAAACTGGCCGCACTTCTGACACCTGGCCACCACCAGTATCTGGCGGCACGACGGGCAGGACGAGTGGGACCCCAACCAAGTGTCGATACAGCGCACATGGAAGCCATGGCCGCAGTGCGGCAACACCTTGATCTCAACCCCTTCAACGAACTCCCCCAAGCAAATGGCACACTCCACAGATACAAACTTGGCACTCCCTCCGCCGTCTTTGGTGTAGGTGAATTTGGGGAGAGATTGAAGAATCTTCTTCTTGAGACCTCTGTTGGCCGACGCCAGAGCAGCGCGGTTGTTCTGGTCCGTGCCGACGCCGCTCCGGCGCCGGAGACACGCGCATCGAGCCACCGCAATTAAACCCACAACGCATATCAATGCGCAGAGGAGAGCAGCCAATATGACCACAAAATCAGACTCCATAGCTACAGTCGCCGGCGGTGGAGCCGCCAATGTCGACAGAATTCTCAAATAACGTGTCATCACTGCACATACGTTAGGCAAAGAATAAGAAAAAAGAATCAAAATACAAAGGAACAGATTTTGGGTATTATGATTCTGGAAAGGAGCTTGCTTCTCTTCTACCCATGTGTTGGAATATAAAATATAAATAGAAGAGAACGGTGTGAAGATTTGAATGTTTTGTCTGGTAAAATAGGAAGAGTTGGAGAAGAGTAGGACATGAGACCCTGGGGAAGGGGGAGGAGATAAGAGGAAAGGTTAGGGTAGGCAGGATGAATTGCCACGGGTGGTTGATAATGTGTCCGCTTGGGTATTTATCTAAGCAGCGTGGGCCTGTGAGAGGGACGGGGAAGCCCGGTTGGTTATTCTGTTTTGAGATTTTTTTTTCTTTTTTGAGTAATATGGGTGGAATTTGGGGGTAACTTTCATTTAATGTTTTTTGTTTTATAATTTAATATAATTTAAATTATAAAATAAGAAATTTATATGGGTATTTAGGTGTTTAGTCTGATTAATCCCATAAGTATTGGACAAAACTTATTTAATGGTGGTATGTAAGTGTGGCTTATTAGAATTATTTACACCTAAATAATAAGTTAAGAATTATTCTAACACATAAAGATCACCTTCTTGATAAGAAATAGTGCAGAATAATTTGGAGAAATACATTCCATCTAAGGGTGGTGTCTTTGGGAGGTGATTCTTCCTAAAGGGGTTGGCCACAAAGGAGAACCTTTGTAAAAGGGGGGTGTTTACACAAGGGGAGGATGTGAGGTGTGGATTATGCAATGAAGTGGAGGAGCTTAGTCATTTGTTTTGTGAATGTAGGGTGGTGTGGTTAGTTTGGATGAAGGTAATTGTTGGGATTAGGCCCAACACCCGCTTCGGGCCACATGCAATATGCCCAGTTATACATCTACAGGCACAAGATGAGGAGACATTCCCATGTGAGCAGTAACACGTGGACCAATTGGATGAACACATGTCTGAGCTCATGTCAGCATATGAGGTTATAAATACCCCTAACTACCTCCATGTAAGGTATTAACTCTTTTACGTCTTTTTCTTTGCAATTACTCTTTGAGAGCATCTCTCTTTAGAATATTGAGTATTGTTGACTTGAGCATCGGAGTGTTTTCCCCGAGGAAACACCTTCCGGAATTTCAGGTGTGGAAGCAATTGAGGACTTCAACAGTGTTGGATCACAAAGCTGCCCAAACAATGATGTTTGGTGGGGTTTGAAGGGGGTTCTGCCAAATGATGTTTTTGGGAT